GGATTGTGTAAGACACAGAGGTTCAGGCCCCTCTTGTAGCGGTTACACCTCCATTGCACAGCAGGAACCAGTGAAGTGGGATTTTGAAATAGTGTGAATAAAATTATTGGTCTCACAAGATTTGAGGGAGGCAACTACATACTCAGGCATCAAGGAATAAATATTCTCGCCTGAGTATATGTTTTACTTCTGTTAAACTGTTTTGCTAATTTGTTTCTGGGTTTTTTTTTAACATTGTTTCAGACCACAGGCAGCATGTTTATCCTTTGAAATTTAATCTAGAGGTGGCTAGACTTTCTTGGCCTTATGTTGCACAGTCCATAGACCCAGAATGCCGGCAGATGAAGGTTTGGGTGCATGAAGTACATTGGTCAGTGTCTGCTTTTCAGGGCAAAATGAAAACAAAACCATGCTTGGAAATACACCCAACTGATTCCATGGAGAAGATGTCTTTTTCTGCCTCCCCAACCATCCACTCCACCTGCCACACATTTCTTAAGGTGCATGCAAAACATTATTTGTCAGAGGTGAGCAACTCAGTTAGAAGCTGTTGCCAATATAGATAAATTGGTATGTGCTCCCTTCTCCCACACCAAGAGGCAATAAGGGACTGCAGAACAGGGTACATAGTAGAGATTTGTATTATGATTTGCCTTTGATATTTGCATCAAATATTTCATCATTGGTTTTAAGCTTGATTTAATTCCATAAATGTGTTAACAACTAAAAACCATCAAGTTTTTTTCTAATGCAACTTATTAAATACACAGTATAAAATACAGTAAGGATTGAATTACATGGGTATGTGATTATGCTTGCAAAAATGTATTGCAATGAGCTTTTCAATTTACAGGCAGGAAATGAAGTTCTGTAATTATGTGACAACATAAGATCAGAGCACTGAAATTGGAATCTGGTTCTTTCTTTTTCTTGGTCTACTGTCAGAAGACATGACCTTGGCACATTCTCCCTTTCCATGTAGCTCAAAAGAGATTCTGGTGAGAATCCAGCGGGAAACTGGTAATTTAGAGACTTGAGAAGAGTGTGTCATTGCCCAAAGCATGCAGGGGTATCTTGCTCCAGTGCTGATGAGCAGCAACAGGGCACTGTTCCACAGTTCCTCAGCTCCCTCACTCAGACATAAGGTCTTTCAGAATACAACACATATTTTAATCATAATAAAGCACCCCTCAATACAGAACAATTAAAGATGGTTTTAGAGTATGTTCTGTTCTGAGGTTTAATTGTGCCATAAGATATACTTGTGAAAAGGAAAAGGACAAGCTCCACAACCCTCCCTGTCCCACACAGAACAAAACTTCAAATTGTAGGTCCAGAGGATGAACATGTTGTATCTCTGATGCTGCTCAGTGGTGGAAGTATGGTTTAAAAAATACAGTACCAATACCAAGATGACACAATAATGCCAGTTTCATATAACGCTTTTTATAAAATATTTGACAGAAAGGCTACAAGAAACCAAATTGATCCTTTCTGCATAAGAGATTTGTTCTTATTTTGGAAAAAACACATTGAATAAGTATTGCACCTACGGTACAATGAGCTCTTCATAACAGTGATACTCCCTGAAATAAATTTTAAATTAAAGGATTACAATTAGCTCTATGTTTCCAGAAATACAGTCTGGACCTACTGCATCTCTATGAACGCTTACTACCAAAGTGTGTATGTCCCTCAAAATAGGAAGAGCTGTGTCTGAATACTCTCATTAGGAATTCTGCTTCAGCTGAAGTAATCTGTGGTTGCTTTTGTGATTGTCTAAGTGCAGAGACTGGAAGACAGAAGGAAAAAATGGACTAAGGTCTTTCCTGGTAAGGGCTGAGACAGGATGGAGCTTCAGCCTGAAAAGGGGTGCTGAAGGACAGGCTGAGCTGCCAGAGGAGCTATCCCTTGAAAAACTTGCTTCTGGGCTATGGCTGGGGGGTTTTATGCTGCGGTTCAGACAGGTATATGCTGAGAAATGTGGATAATGAATCCAGGACTGGGATTTCTCTTGGAAAGTAGAGAAACCATTGTTAATTGCTAGGAAAACCACAACACTGAGGTCTTCATTTTAAAGTAGCCCATATTAAGATACTTTGAGTAACCTCCCCCTCAGAAGCTGATACATTTCAGGCACACTTCCAACTCTACAGAAGATGTTCTATGTGATCACTGAATATTAATTGACTTTTGTACAGAACTGCAGAACTTAAACACTTAAACATAATGTGTGGGTCAATGCTGATTTCTACTTTCAGTTACATAGTTCTTATATGAAATTTCTTTGTACTTGTATAATTGTTTTCAGTACTGTGAGAATAGAGAGTATTTGCGATCTAAGCAGTTAATCTTGATTAAGCTGGAAGGGGATGCCACTTATCGCATACATAATGCATTAACTGAGTTATAAAAGCTTTTGAATCAGTGATCTCTAGCAAGTACATTCTGTGTTAGGCTGCTGTTATGGTATGCTGCTGTGTTATGGTTTACTTGACTTAATAGGAAGAATATATTATATCAATTTTTTAACTGTTTTAGCAAGAAATAGAAATACTCTATCTGTTTTTTCTCTTCATGATCATAGGACATATCACAAGTTGCTAGTGGAATATAAATATTCATTGTGTTAAGAAGTAGGATATGTACCTTTGTAATACAGAATACTGAATACTGAAGCACAGATTTTTAACGTGGGAAAATAGATATTGCATAATCTGTGTTAGTAAAGACAAACCTTCCAGGTGCTAATAAAGACAAACCTTCCAGGTGCAACTGTATTGCATAGAAGATTGGAGTACAGGTCTCTTGCTCACTCTAAAGTCCTTGTTTCCTCTTTGCCTGAGAGGATTGGTATTCATAGAGGAAAAGTGGGTCTGAGGAAATTATGTATATCTCACTAACATTGTCAGGTCATTGTTTGAGTTTTTTTTCCTATCCAGAGTGAAGAGGACTAACATAAATCTGGTAAAAATGTTTGCTCTGGCATGTGATCTATTTGCTCAACAGGTTTCTGTTGTCACTGTTGAGAAATCCATTTGAGACCACCCTCATTCTGTTTCAAAGTGTCTGTTTGGGTAAGCTGTGTTTGGTCTTCGGTTTGGTTGGGAAAAAAACCCATTATTGCTGCATCTTACAGACCACAGTATAAAGTCAATGAGATCTCTGCAGTAGTTAACACTGATCTGATGGAACTGCAAAATTAAGAGATTTGTCTTGTGGAGCTATAAAAGCCATAAAAAAAGCTCAGTAAAGGGAATTTCTATAAACATCTTCGAGTATTTTCCTATGCACAGTAGTTTCTCAGATTGCCCTGTCTTCCATGCTTCAAGAAAATCAGGAGGTGAAACTTCCCATCTCCTCCATATTAATTTAATAGTTCTTTATTTTTCTTGCTCCTGAAGACAGATAATCTTTAGAAAAGTATTCTGAAAACCCCAGGAATCCTGCTGAATGAGTTTGAGATGAATTATCTTCTCAATGATCTCAGAAAAAATGCCTGACTTCAAGCCCCAGTAATGCTATCTATCTGGCACTGGGAATGCTCACAGAGGGTGGCAACAACCTTAACCAATTTGGGACTCCAGACAGCATTAAAGTGTGATGATGAGGGATTGAGTTCTTCCCTACATTCCCTTCCGAATGGAGGTAAGTGGCTACTGCTGAATACAATTGTTCATCTTCTAAAGTAGTCCTAAATCAGCAGTAGTAGATGTGCACAAAAGAAGGAGCTGACTTTATACTTTCTGAATATCCTGTCTTGGGAAAAGGTGTATTAGATCATGTAATTAATAACAAACACATTATTTCTAAATGATTCAAGTGAACACCCCATGTTCTAACTGATCAAACTCCTCAAGAAAACTAAAGACCTAAACAAATGCAACTTAATATTCGCATAACCACAGCACCTACCCAAATTCTTCTCCTTATTTTTAGATCTCCTATTTCATATGAAGAGCAGACAAACACTTTAATACTAGAATTCTACTGTACTCTAACAGGGTTTTTTGATTAAAATTAACAATTGAGCTGCTAAGAATAGGTAAAACAAAGCTATGGGTTTGTTGGTTTGGGGTTTTCTAATAAAAAACCCAAAAACAAATCAGATGGGAAAAGACCTTTAAGATCATTGAGTCCAACCTATGAGCAAACACCACTTGAAAACTAAACAAATAGCACTGTCACATCCAGTCTTTCCTTAAACACCTCCATGAACAGTGACTCTACCACTGCCCTGGGCAGCCCATTCCAATATTTAATCACCCTTTCTATGAGGAATGTCTTTTCTCATGTCCAACCTAAACCTCCCCTAGCACATCTTAAGACTAAGCCTTCCTGTCCTGTCACTAGCTGCCTGGAAGAATAGACTGGATACCTCCTGGAGAGGAGGTACAACCTCCTTTCAGGTAGTTGTGCCCCCTGAGCTCATTTTGTCCTGGCTAAACACCTCTATCTCCCTCAGCCAGTCCTCACAGGACTTTCACCAGCTTCACTGCCCTTCCCTGAACACACTCCAGCACCTCAGTGTCTGTCCTGAACTGAGTAGCACAGAAATGGATTCAGTTAACTTTTTAAGCTGATGTGCTTTGAAAATCAAAACTTGGATGCAATCTTTGTACCTGCAGATTAATGATATTTAAGTTTCCAGTTCAGACCAGGACAATTAAAAGTTACGTGGTCCTGTTAGGTAAAATAATTCTCTACAGGTTGTGTTTTGAAAATTAGAACAATTTTTCTACTTAATGTCTCTGACATTTACTGATATTAATAAATTCCAACTATAAAAAAGCTTACACAGAGAAAGATGAAATTCTGGACTGCTTAAATGGTCAAGCAAATGTTTTCAGGGGTATTAATTGCACCATTCATCTCAATACGGTTCTGGTGCTAAGGCCGAGTAGTGACAGCCTTTTTAATTTCCTCACAACTGATCAAAGCAGGCAAGAGGAGAAAAATGCTGTCAAAATTGTTTTCATAAGATCTTGATAAAAGCTCACCTAGTCGAGGCAAATGGATGGTATTTTGGAAAGTATTGCAAAGTCTGATCTGCTTTCCCTTCTGTGCAATGCATTTTCTCCCTGTAAATGAAGAGTATGCATGAGTCAGTGTCAGCCTTGACATTCTAGGAAGCAAAACAATCCTTAGAATTCAAGTAGCTCAATATTTTTAAATACCAAAATTCTTTTGTGTTGATGGCTAAGTGGGGAATTGTGGTGGGTTGGTACTGGCAGGACACCAGGTACACACCACAGCTGCTCTATCACTCCCCTCCTCAACTGGGAAGGGGGAGAAAAAACCATAATGAAGGGCTCGTGGGTTGCAATCAGGATGGGGAGGAATCACTCAACAATTACTGCAAGAGGTAAAGCAGATTTGATTTGGGGAAAACAGTTTTAATTTGCTACTATCAGAGTAGGATCCTGAGAAAAAAACCTGCAATCTTAAGACACCTACCCCTCACCCCTCCCTTTTTCCAGGGCTTAATTTTACTCCTAATTTTGTCTACCTCCTTCCTCATGAGCAGTACTGAGGGATGGGAAACGGGGGCTGTGGGAGACTTCATCGTGTTTTCTCTGCTGCACCTTCCTCAGGGGAAGGAGTACTCACAATCTTCCCTTGATCCAGCATGGGGTCCCTCCCATGGAGGAAAGTTTTCTGCAAATTTCTTCAGTGGGAGTCTTTCCAATGGGCTGCAGTTTTTGATAAACTTCTCAATCATGAGTCCATCCTGGGGACTGCCAACAAACCTGCTCAATGAGAAGCATCTCTTTCCCTTCCTTCTCTGACCTCAGTGTCTGCAGGGCTGTTACTCCCACATATTCTCACTCCTCTCTCCAGCTGTAATTGCTCTTGCACAGTAACTTTCCCCTTTTTGACTAATTATGTTATCCCAAAGGTGATACCATGACAGTGTTTTCTTATGTCTGCTCATAGCAATCCTCAAGGGAAACTGGTGCAACTTTACTGGCCACAGAAAATAGACTATCTCTCAAACTGAATTTAGCTCTATAATCTGATCAAGGGTCAGTTCTGAAGCTCTTATTGAGTTTTCTGTGATGGATAAAGATGATGATTAAAGTCTTGAATATGCAAGAAAAAGAGACACTGAACTGCAGCATTCTAGAAGCTGCCATTATGAAGCTGGTGAGTGTTCCTTTGGTCAGAAATCTCATCTGTACATCCCTGACTCAGAACCTCCTTTGAATCCAGAAGAAATATTTATCTTCTAACAAGGCCAATTTTAAGAACCTGGGCAGCAGACTCTCTTCCCTCTAGAAAATGCAAGTCTTGATGATTTTAAAATGTCAGGATGAACATCTTGACAGAATAAAACCAAGTGGGAGACTTACTTTCACATGCAATGTGTGCTCAGTCTCCCTTTTTTCCCTAGGTATAGCCATGTCTTAGATGTTTGGGAAGATCAAACCTCATTCAATCAAGCTTATTAGGTTCTTTTATTCAGGTATGGTCAGGGAGCCATTAAGGGAGAGAAGTGAAAGGAGAAGAACACATAGTCCTGAAGTTCTACACTGTCTCATTAGTGATTAGAGCCATAAGATATACTTACCATTAATAATCACTAATATCTGATAAGGTATCAGATAATAATACCTAATCACTAATAATTGATTAGGATTTCTTCAGGAAACAGGACAGGTGGACACACACCTGTGTCCTGTTCTTGTTAAGCAAAAAATATTGAAAGAGTCCTGGTGAAAGCTGCAAACAGAGTCATCAGAAAAGTGGCTGTATATAACTGACTGAAATAACATATAAATGTGAAGTGTTGATGAAAGGTGTATTCATTCATGTTTTAGAAGCATTGTCTTCATGTCAGAATGAAGGCATGCGGTATTCTGTTGTTTTATGGAGTTTTCATTGTTCCTGGTATGGAGTGCTAACATAAAACTTCAGTGCTTCCACAAGCACTGAAGAGCTCAAGAAGCCAATATAATATTTTAAACCATCATGTCAATAAAATAGCTCTGGTGGGCTTTTATCTAGCAGTGCTGGAGGTATAGATGAACACCACCACCAGCATGGCAAAAGACCTGACATTCCCAGCCAGCCTAGGAATCCCAGGATTTTATTTATCTTCTGCAATCTTTGTCTTCCTTTCTTAGGACTTTTATCCATAATTTTTGTTTTGGTTCTTTGGTTTTCTCTTTAAAATTTACCTTTGCCTGTCTTTTTTGAACTGTTTTGCTCTCAGATGATGCTGCCTATCTATAATTGCCTATAACTCTGCAATTAATAATCAATATGCACTGCATTCAACTTTCATCTTCACTAAGTCAAAGGCCACCATGCACCATTATTTCCTCTCAAAAGTTTCCAAAATGTGTGGTAGAATGCAATTTAAAAAACCACCTATGAAAGCAGATTATGTCCATGTGATTAAACTTACAAACAGCTGTCATATTTAGGGGCAGTGGTGCTTATGCTACTGTACTTTGTAGGTCATTGGGCCAAAGCATTTTCTTGTTTTAGGTGATTATTCTAATCAACTGTTGGGTACTGAGATGCACAAGTACACTGGTTTTTTGTTCTGCTCCAAAGTTCTTGCTCTTTGATTCCTGCAAGTTATCATGGTACTAGAGGTAAAAATTGCTCATTTAGTAAGCTCAGAGTTTGCTTTGGCATAAGCATGGAATGCTGGATTTTAGAATTGCTGGAGTTATTTGATCTGTATCTTTGTAGACTCTGACATGTTTCTAATTTACTCTAGAAAGAGGGCTCAGTTTCTTTTAGCTTGAAGTAGAGATCAGTGCCCACAAACAGCCCCCTTGACACAGCAGCTAAGATATTAGTATGCAGGGCTTTTTCACGGCAGAGCTATATTGTAGTTTTGTATGTGTAGACATGAGAAAATCAATACACTCATTGTAAACTTCAAAGCAGTGGAAAACTACAAATGCATGAACAATGGAAAACAAAGCTACTATTATTCTAACAAGCATGCACCTGGTAGAATGAAGAGGTTTGTGTCAGTGTGGTACTGTTGATATTCATTCTAATGCTGAATCTTGTAGATATGTTTTATTAAGCTAAAATATCACATCTTAAACAAATGAATATATTTCATTGCATGGACAAGAAGTGCTGCTAGTGACTGAGTGTGGCAAAATTTGCCAGCAGCAGAACATTCTGCATGGAGCTTTGCACCAAATTCACTCATTCGAAGCCTTGTTTTTGCACCACCTGGAGGCTGTAGGCTTCTCTGAAATTAACCTCTCCAAACTCTTAACAAATGCCATTTTTCACTTATGTCTGTTGAGACAGCCCAGTGTTTTGATGCTATATTAGCACCAAAACTCATTCCCCTGGGATTTCCTTCTGGTCCTTGTGCCTGTTGTCATCACAAATACTGCTTTACATTAAGTCAGCATAAATTTGCCAATACTATGATGGTAAGCAAGACCTAAATTAAGGTCCTCATCTATTTCCCCCCACCCCATTCTTTCTGACAGCAAACTCTTGTGCTGTTATTTGAATGTCAAACTATTCTTATCTCCAAGGTAAGCTCACCTGACTTGACTGTTACTTACGGATTTTTGGATGGGTTTTTTTTGGTTTGGACAAGTCACGCAAGATGACCCTGTAGTGAAGTGTATTACAGGATTACTGTCAGCTCCTGTAGAAAGTGCGTGCTCAAAAATTCCCTGCCATTTACTGGGTGTCATGGGTTAGATGTCAGAACTAGGAACTGGGCTTTCATTTCCATATCAACCATAAGGTTTTGGTGCTACTAACTAAATCACTATCGTAGTCTCTACTGTCATAATCTGAAAGATAAAGTTGAAGCTACCTGCAGCACTGAGAAAGGCTGTTTTGATGGAAGTGATTGTTGGCTAGACACTGTCATAGAAGAGGCAGTGACATGCAGGTGGAGGCCAATTCCACCACCCTCTGCCATGAAGCATCCAGTGTTGCACCTCAGGGATCTCTTATTCTTTGTCTCCAACTGGGATAGAAATTTAGAAATCACTTTAGTTCAACTTAAAATACACATTGCTAACAATTGTTTTGCCGTTTTAACCAGGTCCTTGATTACCCATTTATATTGTCTGACAGTCTAGAACTAAGCAATCAATATGAAGAATTATTGCACTTCACAGTCATGGAGCTGCCATTGGAAAGGATTTATGATTTTTGAGTGCCACAAGTTGCTATCTTGTTGCAGATAACCTGAGACTGTTAATTCATGCTGATAATGTTTATAATTGCCTAAAAATTAATTAAACACAGTTTAAACATCTAGTTTCTGGAGAAATAGGAAACTTCTTATATGACTCCTCAACCACCACCTTCCATCAATAATATGTTTAGAAAAGGAAGATCTAACACAACTTACTTACTCACAAATGGCTCTCAAATTTTGAACTGAGCTCCTTACAGTTGCATCTAATCATCATCCATAGAGTTGAGGTGGCAGAGGGAAGAGAGGAAAGAACACAATAATTTACAGAAGCTTCTCTAGCTTGACAACTAGAGCAGAAGCTGCAGACTAGCCAGAATTAGAAGCTGCACAATTAATTACCAAGGTCTTCAAAACTTCATCTGTTCCCAGGAGACAAGCAGAGCTGAAAGTTTCCAAATTTGTCAAGCACAGCGTGCCCTCACCTCTTGTTTGGTCCTTTTCCATGTTCCTGGCTCACTGCTGGAGAGAACAGCCTCCAAACAAAAGCTGTGTCACCTGCCCACCACTCTGCAGCACTTGTCAGTCTCATTTTAAGTGATGGTATAGCTCAGCATCCCTACTTAATGTTGTTATGGTGACCGTGGGAACATAACACCGAGCACTGCATCTGTCTGCTTCTCTACTGCTAATGATCCTGCTGTGTACAACTTCAAAAGGAGCGGAACCAATGCGTTGTTTTTTAAAGCCTGGATGATCAAAGAGGCCAGCAACTACAAAACTGTCCTTCTATTAAAACATTTATGCTTGAGTTGTATCCCAAGTAGAGGAAGGGAGGGTAGATAAATCTCCCGGTACACCTTTACAGCTAGATCCTTTGTTTATTTAGGGCCTGACCGTGTTCCTTCTTTTGCAGAACATGACAAAAATGCCCCATGTGAGCAGCCTCCAGTGGGGCCCACAACTGGTACAGGAGCTTGGAGAACATGCATATGCTGGCACATACTTGGACAGGTCCATGCTACAGAATTGCACAGTTCTCAGGGGATATTTTCCTATCATCCCTTCAGCTCTTCCTGCCTTTTGCTTTACACTGGCAATTGTATCTATGTAGGTAAGTAATTTAAAAACAAATAAAATCAACAGGTGCTTAGGAAAAGTGTAGAAATGAAGTGCAGGTTTAAAAAAGAAGTTTTTTAAACTCAAGTAAAAAATATAATTGATCAGTGAACAGCATAATGGTTACCTTTTTATACTCAGCTACAGCCATATGAGAGGTCTTACTCTTTTATATCCCAGGAAGTTTCTGTAAATCAGATCCCTGACCTTTCCACTGTATATTTGCTTGTCTTCTTGGTCTGTGTCAAGCAATACCACAACACAGATGGCACAAAGTGCAAACCCCTGCAGTAAGATGCAGTAAGACCTCAGGTGAAAAACGGGTGCTCTGCAGCCACCTTGCCTATTCTAGAACACAGTAAGAGAGGGAAGGCTGATCTGCAGAAGAAAATGGCATGCTGATAATTGTTATCACTGGTGGACAGCTATGGGCCCTCTTATGATGCTCAGCTATTTAGATTCCATATTAATGAGTTGTCAAGAATGTTCACAATTTTTTAATCACAAGATTTCCTTTTTCTGCTTCTGGGTAGTGGGAGGAGGTTCTGTTTTGGTTTTGTTTTTTTTCTTGGTGTTGTTTACTTTTCCCTTGTGATTTGGCTGCTTCTGTTTTGTCATTTTGATGACTGCCTCACTCATGTGCCTGCCTGAGCTCAAGAAGCATTACTGGGACAACACAGGCACATGGTGTGATTCCTGAGGATGGTGCTGTACAGGGCCAGGAGTGGGACTTTGATAATTCTTGTGGGTCCCTTCCAACTCAATATATTCTATGATTCCATGTGATGGAATTGGAGCCACGGAAGCAGGCAAGCAGTGCTCCTCCTAACATCCCCCTGCATTGCAGGCTGCATGGAAATCTCCTTTGTGCTTCATTTTTATCTTTACAAAATGTCACCAAAGAACCTTTCTGACAGTTGGTGCTACAAACTGCACTTCTAAAAGGTATGACACAGATAACACTGCAGCTCTGAGCTGGCTCATAGGCCATAGAGCTGATGAGCATCCATGAGTAAAGCATGAGAATCAAGAGTAATTAAATTTTAACAGATGAAACGATAACTCTGGAGGGGGGTGAAAAAAGCCTTCGTACTTAACCAGAGAATGGGCATTCCCTTAGAAAAGGGAAAACAAGTCATTACAAGCCCCAGGATTTATTTCCTTTCAATCTTGTTTGACAATTTGAATGTAATAAAATGGAAAAAGAAAGGAGGCTGGAGATAAAGAGGTATCTATTGACTAATGCAGTACAAAACATGAAATGGTATAATAGCAGCAACAGCAGCAGCACTTCCCTCAAAATCTAATATTGAGTCTGTGTTTTTACTGGCGTGATTTTGGCCTGGCACATGAAATAGCTGCTGCCAGTGAGCAATGGAGATTGATGTCTCTGCTGTGGAGAAGAGATGGACAAGACTGAATTCATGCTTTGACGTGTGTGTCCCGCTACTTCCATAACGCTGATGGAGGCCGCAGCAAACACGTCTAAGCAAAAGCCCTTAATTCATTTTAGGATGGAAAACTGCTCTTGGTAAATTGCATGTTTGTTGTATATCTCTTCAAAGTCATGAGCAGAACTGAATATTTCTGCTGAGGTTTTTTTTGAGGTTTTTTTTTTTTTTTTAATTTGGCTGTTAAAATTAGGCTTTAAAAAATGGCTTCTGTATACTGCAGTATCTCTGCTAGTATATAATATTGAGGGATATTGTACCAGGTAAAGCAGAGAACATCCACAACTACTGGAGGAGGGAGGAAAAGGAGCCTGATTTGGCTCTACAAGGACAAGGTCGTTTTTTATGGACTAATGCAGCCAAAGTGAACTTGAGGCACAGAACAGCACAGCCACCTCAATAACTGCATTGTGTAGGTGGGCTTTTGTCATGAATGGTATCATAGTAACTCACAATTCAGCAGGTGGGAGGAGAAGCCACAAATAAAGGCCTTTTTATATATGACAACAAAAAGGAATAAATACAAATTTTCTCCCTAAGTGATGTCAAAATCCAGGCTAAAATATGTTGTGACGAGAATTTGTTTTGTTTTAGTTGAGAAATATATTTAACATTACAAGACAATAATTTTAGTAGTAGCTGAGGGTTAAAACCCTTGTTAAAAATGCGTATGAGTACTGGAGGATTGCAAAACACCATCTGTAGCTCAGTGTTCAGGAAGTAACAATGGCTGTGTTCTATTGGGGCTACTTTATTTCTTTTTTAATGTTTATAAAAGTGCATTCAAGGCAATATAAAAATCCCATGTGAGATACAAAATGTGCAAATTACATCTTCATTGCACTGTAAAGCATAAAAAGTTGCTGGTTTTCAACTTTTTAATATATGAAATCTCAACTGCAGGAGAACAATAAAAGAAAAAATATTTATTCTGTTTATTTCTCTTTTTCAGCTATTTGATCCAACTAAAATTTTTATTTCTGGCAGGCATTAAAAAAAATCCAGTTAGGAAGGTTTGCAATATCCTTGTTTTCTCTATTTATCACAGATTGTAAATGTCAAGGCTAACATTTGTACTTATTTCGAAGGCCAAATACTCAATTAAAAAACTCACAGTGACCTGAAGAAGACTGTGGGAGAAAGACATTCTTAAAGATCCTCTGCTTCACACAGCACTGTCACTTCCTGAAGTGCCATGGCGTTCTCTGTCTTAGAAAAACTTGTAATTTTTGTCTTTGGATTATTCTTTCAAGGACAATATTTGTATTGCAAGACAGATATGGTGAGTGCCCTTTTTCTAAGGAAGATATATAAGCATAATGTAAGCCCTTCCTTACCTACATGTATGGTTTTATTTTGTCTTCCTTATATTTATCATGCTAATAGGGCTCAATTTTTCTTTGAATTTTCTCACATTGCCCACTTTTACTTTAACAGGAATTTTGCACAGGCCAGCAAAGGAAAACCTTTAGCTCAAAACCAATAAAGGTAACCTAGAAAAAGGAATGTAAAAATGCACTTTAGAAGAAATATTACCAAGAGAAGAACACAAGGTTCTATGAACTTTTAAGGCATTTTTATGTGCTTAGCTTAAGCAAAAAATAGAAGTTAAGATATTTGCAATAAAATTTTCTTTCGGTCACATTTCTTTTGAAAATACAATAAAGGGATTGATCACAAAAATCATGTCACCCTTCACAATGAGAGTCTACCTGTGAGTTCAGAGACTAGGCACTGGAAGCAGCTCTATGCTGGTGAAGTTTCATCAGTATAAAGTAGGTTAATTGAGCTTAGAGGATAACTTTGCCATAAATTTTAATGACTTGAAGCTAGTGTGCTTCTGTTGAGAAATGCTTCTGTCTACACAGAAAAAAATCTATTTCCATCTAGGTGACCAGAGGTAAAGAATGTTTCAACATTGAATTTAACATTGAATGTCATGGGTCATTCACTTTACATATTTAAGTAAATAATCTAAGCAGTGTTTCCAAAACAGAAGGTTGAATTCTGTTTTATAGGCTGTTATGTATTAGAATTATAAAGTAATTTACTTGACAATAAAACTTTCTATAGACATTATGCCAGAGATGAAAGATTTTAAACAACATTGATGTCATTAATCTTGATCTTTGTGATGTTTTGATAGGCACGATTATGTACACATATTTTTCATCCACTTTGTCTGTGTCTTTCTGAGCTGGATTTGCTTATACAGACTGTGAGGCAATAGTTAAAGTGGTATAGTGTGTCTGTATCAATTCTTGTAAATGAAAATTTACCTTTAGACCATCAAGTGATGCTAGCATACTTCCAGCTACCAAAAAAGAGAAAAAGAACAACTAAAACACAAAAATCCTGCTAGAGGACATTGGCATATGTGGCTTTTTCAAAACTAAGGTTTTGTATCTAGCTTTCCAATCAGCATGCACAGCAAAACAAAGCCTGATGCATTGAATTGCATATGGAGAAACCATACTATTTAACATATTGTTCTGTGCAGTAAGCAGCTCTAGTATGAATGGGCAGGAGGGAAGTCTGGACAGTTCTGTTCTACATCTTCTGCAAGGTCATTTTCTCCTGACTCAACCTTTAAGAATATGATTTAAAAGCTTTCTGACTTTCTTCAGCAAATGGCCTTTGGCAGGATTAAGCTGCGCCGCTGCCAATCCAGCTCAATACCAAGCATGTTAATGAGGTGTCTTGGCCTTTTTATTAATTCTACAAGCAGGGTAGTCCATTCAGCAGTGACTGAGAAAGTTTAATCAAATAATCTCATTGTTCCAAATTTATCACCACAATAAAAGAATCTACTAAGGAAATACAAAATGAAAGAACTCATTTTTAATGCTATATCATTTTCCACTAAGAAGCAGTGCAGCCTTAAGGCTCACAGCAGTGCTAATGTCTGCCTCTCTGTGGGTATGTAGTGTACAGGGGTGTTGCAATCTGCAGGGGGGACCTGCATAGCAAATTGTCTGCCCCTGGCTCTCACTTTTGCTCTCACTAACAATTTATACTCTTAACAGATTCACTTTTTCTAATTAAGTCTTTTGATTTCAGAAAACATCTGGAAGAAAAGTGTAGTGAGATACAGTCTTTATCCATTACATGAAGAAATCTATCCATTGTAGGTGACAAAGGTGAAGAAAGGACACCTTTTTGCATATCGTGGGGAGAAATGAGGTCTGAATTGTGTAAGAGAATAGTTACAGTAGCTTCCAAAGTTAATTCCAGGTCTGGAAAAATAAGTATGGTTAACTTACAAATAGGACTTAAAATGCATAGATGGAAGTAAGTGGCTTTGCTCCACAGTTTGGAACCATATGGCAAGAGCGTAATGTTTTTTTGATCTTCTGTGCTTCCAGATCAAAAATTCAGCTGTGTGTTTTTTAATGTTTCACACACATGTGCAGCATCAAACAGCTGCTATTAATTTTATACAGTAAAAATTGTCTGTCAAATCAGTTTCCAAGTGTTCCTTTCTCTTCAGAAATCTTTCCTGCTGAGAAATCTGTGCCATCCAAGGCTAGTGACACATTTTTTAATAAAAAAAATTTCAACTTTAAAAACACCATCAAAACTAGAAAGCTTATCAACGCATAAGTTTATCTGAAGGGTGAGAATTACCAGGTTTTGCTTGGGACCAGCACAACTTCTAGATAAGCAACTTTAAACATAACATGAATATTGTGCTCTAGGTCACTAAAGCAAATTCCTACCCTGAGCACAAATCCAGTAAAAGTTTTCTTTCATGCTCCTTCTGGAGTCCTTAATTCTCTTTCCTATATCTTTCCCCCTCTTCCTTATTCCCTGGTTGTTTGGCTCTCCTCTCAGCAAACTTGTGGAACAAGGGTGAACAAGGAGTCATGCACAGCTAAATACAGAAAACTTGCAGTACCAGTATCTTTTTTATTTCCTTAACCTCAGTTTTGTAGCCCGTTATTTCTAGCACAAATAACATGAAATGGCAGAACACAAAGGGATATCAAGGCTATATAATACACCAATGGACTTTGATATTGAAGCTTCTGTCATTTCTCAAGATATGGGGTATTGAACGGGTCTGTTCTATATTCTCCCATTAACAACTCTCACAGTCCTTTTGGGGCTCTTGCTTGAGAAAGGAAATGTTACTATTTTTCTGCTCTTTGCATGTTTGATTTGAACTGGGGAGAGAGACACTGGCAGGGTACGTACGCCACTAAGACATGATGAGTTGTCCTAATTTTTTTTCTGCACTTCTCATCTAACAATGGACATCAAAACAAAAAATAGGTCTATTTTACATTCCAAATATAAAGGACTTCTATTTTCCACTGTGTCTGTCAAAGAAACAAAGTGAACACTTTATATTCAACCACTTCAAAGTAGCAGATTAAAATCAGCTTTCTAAAAAGCGACATGCCTCCAAGGAATTGGGACACTAACCCTATATGGCTCTTCCTAACTATAACAGGCAGCTAGATTGTGATTTCCAGAGCTTTCCAGTTGCTTTCAGCAAGATGTTATGGCAAAAATTCTGATGCTGATTTGGTTTTGCCATGCATTGCAGAGGGATCAGAGTAATGTGAGAGCTCATGTGAAAAATTTGCTCCCACTTGTCTTAAATTCATCTGACTGCTCTCTCAAGCACAGTGTTGGTTTCTCTACTTGAGAGAGTAAGGGTGATTCTGTCAGAGGTGGTCAGGCTAACTTTTGCTTCTCATTAAGTCTTCATTTGACCATTCTCTGCTGCTGTATCAGTTTTTCTTGGTTCTCTGGGTTTATTTCAACCATTTCAAGATGGTGCTAAATATTTTAAAACATGAATGCAAGCAAATATCCAGGATGGGCTAGACAGTTTCTGCTTTTTTGTTGTTGTTGTTGCTGATTCAAAATATTTTGTATGTGAAATGAATTATGCTCAAAGTTGCGTTCCTATTCAATCTGAACATGCTACAATTAGTCCCATGGATAGAGCTGGAATAATTTGGGTTATGCAGCAGCATTATATTCACGTGGATGTCAAATTTGACCCCAGCTGGAGAAAATTAATAGCTTTGCCATGTAACATTTCCATATATTATATAGGACTTTTATAACGTATATTGTAGTTCTGTCCAACACCCAAAGGCTCTTGGGGCAGGAACATCTGATTAAAGTCTTGGGCTTATACTTTCAGTGCTAAACATAAAAATACTAATAAGTAGGACTATGCATCAAATGCAGAATATTTGGTGAGAAGGGCACTTGCTTAAATCTCTCCTTGCTTAAGGAGGGAGATAAGTTGTCTGAAAACTCAGGTCCTAAGGCTAATTTTTATGAACTGGGAAAGAAGAAACACATCAGCCTCATGCTGTTGTTTATGCAGTAGTGATTTGTTGCCCAATGAAACAGTGTTGCTATCTTAGTCTAGTATGTTGCAGAATCTTTTAAATGCAAAACTTCTATCTTGGGCTGGAGGTTGGGAGAAATAATAAAAAATGCACTTACCTTTCTCATTAAATGAGTAGTATTTTGATAAATATGAAGTTCTATCCCAGAGAATCTTCTGGCAAGCTAGTATTGATGGGAGGTGAAAATAAATACAGTTTAAATTATCTTTTCTTTTGATATGGCATCACACAGTAGACAACATAATGCTAATATATCTTAATGGCTGTGCCTTTTAAGAGCTAAATATCAGTCAAGCATATAATTTCATGTTGTCTGGAAAAACATAAAGAGGAGTATCTAAGAGGACTGAATAAGGCACCACACTCTAGAATAATTACTTACTGTTCCCTTGCTAGAGAGCTCTGCCTTTTAAAAAAATATAGTTTCCTAACTCATCTGTGTTTGAATGATTTCAGGTGTTTTACTAAAGTAATAAACTCTCACTAGCAAGAGGTTCAGAAAAGCTGCTTCTAGTGGCTCCAGCTTGGTGTTGCATACCATTTTGCCTGCTATTCTTAAAGTAGATACATTCTGCTTAGCAATTTTTTTTCTTATACCTTGTAGAATTGCTAGAATACTATATTTTCTTCTCCTTTTACTCAAGATCTTAAACAGATCCATAAAACTACAAATTCCAAGTCATGTGGAATCCCATACTTTATGCTTTAATGTCCAATGCCATATTGTAATGTTTCAGTTTTAGCTACAATGCTTGAACATAATTAAAATAATACACATGAGAATTTTTGCTTGCATGTCTCCAAAAAATGGCTATTTTTAAAGAAGAAACATCACTTACAGCAAGGTTTGGTAAGATCCTAAGAGGCAGCTGTTGGTAGATGTTGCTGTTGCATCTTACTGCAATTTTGAAATGTCGTCTTTATTAAGTGCTTCAGTGAACTTTCAGATGTTCACTCCCAGGCGTTATTTTCCTCTCTCACATGAGAGAGGAAAGAAGAGGTGCATGCTCACTTCAAGTTTGTCAGTGCTGCCACCCAAGTTGTCCAAAGTCACTTATGTGCGTGAGAGGAGAAACACCCACTCATCATTTCATTTACACCTTGGAATGACAGCAGCTGGGGAGGAATAAAAACAGCTGAAAAAAAATTATTGGATAGAAGAATAAGATGGTTGTGGCACATTAAAGTGGATATGTGTGTAAAAGAGGCTTCTGACTTCCATATCTATACTTCTATACTTTCTAGTGCTATGGAAGATGGCCAGCTAAACACAGCAGTGATGGAGGTGAAATTTCTAGCAGGGCTGAACCAGCCTCTGCTGTTTGCAGCAGCTCATGCCAAGAGGCAGGTGAGTACCCAGCAGGTGTCAGTCACTATTGGCTGGTCAACAACATTAGGATTGCTTCCTTATTGGAACCTTTGCTGGCTCTGAGATTGTTTTATTTCTGGACCTATAATTACGGAGGAATTTTACACAAGATACATACCGTATTATGGGAAATTCTCAGAATAAATCCTATCCTTGTCCACCACTTGAAGTCAAAGAGAGCATGGATTGTGCATACTGAACAATGTTGGTCCAGTGATGGCCTTTGGAGGCCTGACTGAAATGATTAATCCCATTCACGCCTGTTATCACCATTCCTGCCCTAAAGAGACTTAAATCAGTGATCAGTATCCTTAGATTTAGTGAACATTGTGTTTTTATCCCCTCATTTTGAAGCAAATCATCATTCTGCCTTGATTTGTGTAGCCTGCAAGGAGTTCTGTCATTGCTGGTGGGTGGCATCAAACCCCTGCACAATTTACTCTCTATTTGCACTGTTAGACCACTGCTGTTCACCTATAGTGGATTTTGGAAATGGCTTCCTCTGCAGCAAACATTTTCTCCCTTCACAGACTCAAAATAGGGGTTGGAGAGGAAATAAAATAAAGTTAGTGCTTTATTCAGTACATGTGTGTTTAAGATGATGACCAGTTTTATATTTTTTTTTAACCTTCCCTTTCTGATAATGGTGCAGTGATGCTGTAATGTTCCCTTCAGTGACAGTGAAAGGTTGCATTTAACTGATCCAGCTCACTTCCACATTTGATACTTCGGTGGTTTAATGTTCCAGGTAAACTGAGACAGTGCAGTGGTGAAAGGTACCAACCTTTTCTCCTTGGACTTGACTTTTCCCCCCTCCAAATATATATGGGCACATACATACAAAACACTCTTTGATTTCAACTGTCTCTACATCTAGGTGACCAAATTTTGCCCAAGAATCTACTATTAGATTTTAATCTCATTTCTTTGTGAATGAATTCTTTGTATAAGGTAACATCTATGCTCACATGTTCATTTAAGCTTAACTGCATGTTTGCCACTCAAGTTAGAAAAAAAACTGTGTTAAAAAAAAATGATGAAAGTAAAGTTGAGTTGATAGAAGGCTGTGTGGCTCCGGTTCCGGTTCGGCGGCCTTACGGGGGTAACCAGGTGGGCGCCCTCGTCAGAGGGGGTCCAGGGTCACTTCAGAGCTGGCCCTGCTCGGGCTGCCCGAGCCGTTCCGAGCTTGTCGCTAGCGAACAGAGGTGGGAAAGGCTTGGCTGCTCGGCCGGGAGGGCGCACCCGGGGTCTGAGGGAAGGTGAGGCCCGGGGAAGGTGAGGCCGCCCCGTGAGGGTGAGGCCGCCCCGCCCCGCCCCGCCCGAGGGCCGCTTGTGGCGGCGGCGGCCCCGGGGGCGCCCCC